AGTTGATATGTATCATGAATTTGAAAAGTACCATTTGTTTTTCCAAAAAGTACACTAATGGTAGAATCCCCAGTATTAGCCACTACTAAGTCGATTATATTATCAGAATTGAAATCTACTGAAAATGCATACGAGGGTGATGCACCAACTGTGTAGTTGATGGGAGTATCAAAATAACCATTTCCATGGCCAAAAAGTACATCGATGGTGTTGTTATTCTGATTGACTACTACTAAATCTTGTTTAGTATCATTATTAAAATCAGCTGAAATGATATGAACTGGAGAGGCACCAACTGTATTATTTAGTGGAAGTTGAAGAGTTCCATTTCCACTACCAAGTAACACAATAATATTGTTACTATCTTGAGCAATTAATGCAACATCTTGATTATGATCACTATTGAAATCATATGATATTAACCAGTGAGAATATTCATCTGTATTATATGTAGTTTTAGTGCCAAAACTACCATTACCCATACCAAGTGATATACTAACACCGTACGTAAAATCGTTTACTGTTGCCAAATCGATTCTATTATCATTGTTGAAATCAGCTGCAACAATGTCTATTGCAGAGGAATTAAATAAATACCGGATGCTAGGCAGAAAATTTCCATCACCATTACCAAGTAATACATAGATACTGCCACCGCCTACTACTGCTAAATCTATTTTACTATCATTATTGAAATCAGCTACTGTTAATACACTTAAGGAATAGCCAATCGAATCAAGAGTGGATGTTGTAAAACTTTGATTTCCATTGTTAAGAAGTATAGTGAGAGTGTCACCGCCACTATCCATCACTACTAAATCCAGTTTTTTGTCATTATTTAAATCAACTTCTTTCATATAAAATGGATAATAACCAGTGTTACAAACAATTGGAGCATCAAAACTCCCATTTCCAAAGCCAAATATCACATCAATGTCGGCGCTCCAACCATATGACACTACCAAATCCATGTTGTTATCACCATTGAAATCACCAGATAATAACATATATGGGGACGGATTAACTGAAAAGGACGTAATAGTTGTAAATGACCCATTGCCATTATTAAAAAGTAAACTAACGGTAGAGCTATCTTGATTTGTTACTGCTAAATCCAATTGATTATCATTATTAAGGTCAGCGGCTATTACATAGTATGGACCTTCACCAATATCATAATTGACTGCAGTCAGAAAGAGTCCATTTCCCAAACCTAGTAGAACACTGACTGTATTGCCATCTGTATTAGTCACTACCAAATCTATTTTCTTATCGTTATTCAAATCAACTGATATCATAATAGCTGGTTTATCACCAGTAGCAGGTCGTGTAGTTCGAAAAATTTGTTCCGTATCACCACCTAATAGTAAAGTTACACTATTTTCTAGGGAGTTTGATATTGCAATATCGAGATATGTATCATTATCAAAGTAACCCAGTACAGAAGATGATGGATATTTTCCAGTATCGATAGTAGTATCTAATTGAAATGGCTTCTCGCATACATATTCTAAAAACAAAATAATAATGAAACATAGATTGAACAATAAGTATGATAGAATTATAATCTCTGATATAAAGACATCTGAGTTTTCTATTATCTTAAAATAAATCTTCATACTTGTTGTTTTTGATTTTGTTCCCAAAATAACACCAATAATAACACCTGCAATAAATAGACTAAGCAAAAAACAAGTTGGAATCATAAATCTTTTCTTTCGATAAAATGGACGTCTTATAAATAAATAAAAAAGAAATAATTTCATCACATAAAATAATTAGATGAAACTTACGGAATTTTTGGATAAATATGTGCACCTAAATATTAAAAAAAAATATTATTACTATATATATATATAATAGATGATTGAAATACCTTCAAATGGTGGTTCAAGTGTCATCATTTCTGGTTCGACTTGTTTCAGATGAATAATATATAGATTAGCTGCTGGACTAAGTTGTGATTGAACAATCATATGAGTACCAGACATAAGAACAATTTCATCTTCAGTAACAAAATGAGAGTGAGCTTTAATTGTTCGACCATTGATAGCTTCGACAGAAAAAAGTGTTCGATCACCTTCCTGTCCCAAATACATATTATTTTCGAGTACAGTCATTTCAGTAGTACATGATGAAAATGCCCACCAAGTCATACCAGTGCCAGGTGGAAATTCTGCACTTAAGTTTTTAGTTACTCCTCTCCAAACAGTTAATGGTGGAACACATGGTAGTTTAACAAGAGCAGTTAAGAACAGCTTGAGATACCTGAAAAAAGGTAGAAGTGCTTCACGATCATTATTTTTGAGATTGAAATTGAGTGTTGAATAGAGACTTCGATGAGGTTTATCCCATTCGATTGTATAAAGACGAATTGAAGCACTTTCATCAACTGATAATCCATCAGGTGGTTGTTCAGGAGTTTCTTCTAATGCTAACTGAACATAGAATGATAAATTATTAAAGATTTCAGTTAATGGAGCACATGCTTGTGCAAGTGGTAATAGAGGTTCTTCCGAATATCCTAGAATAGGACTTATTTCAGTTCCATCACTTTTAGTGATATCTTTATTATCAGTTTCTGTAATTTGTTTCTCTTGTTGACTAGTGGTATTTCTATCAATATTAGAATCTTCTTTTGGTATCATTGTTTGTCTTTGATCGAGTATTGCTTCTCGATTAAGATTTTCATCTGTTTTATCGAACTTGTGTGTTGAACCATTCTTGTTATTGGCTCTTGGATTTCTTGAGTGTTTATGTTCGTTATTTACGTTATCATCCAAGTTAATATTTGTAAATGCTACTTGAATGCCAACATTTTTAGTTCGTTTGTATCGTCGATAATTTTCTGCTTCATCGTCGAGTTTGATGGCAGTTAATTCTGTTTGTAAACGAACATTTCTGCTAGTTTTTGGTTGTTGATAATTTATCTGTTCATCGTTGAATGGAATTAATGTTTCCATCATATTATGTATGGGAACATTTCTATTTGATATTGTTCGTTGTTGTGAATAATTGTTTATATTGATATTCTATGACAAAAGATTAAATATTTTTTTTACAATGAAAAAAATAACAAGTAGTTGATGATGAATATCTACAGATATCAAATATTATTATTATCTCTCAAGATAGAAATATGAAAAAAAGAAAAATCTATCTATGTGATTTAATTGATCATTAATCAATGAAGAATTCTATACTATTATAGTCAAACAATCAATTTTAAATTAGTAGAATTTATTCTTAACTATCTTATATATATTATTCATATTATTTTAGGATATCTCTCTGAATATATATCTTAAGATTATAGAAGTAAACTTGAAGATTCACTATAACAGATTAATACAAAAAATACCATTAATTTTTTTTAACTTTCTAATAAAATAATTATATATATATATATAAAATCAAACATGATAAAATGTAACAAAATATTATTTTAATATTATCAGTCGAATAAAGCAACTATTTAGATGGATTAGTACATGATAATTGTAATTTTTTTGTAATATTTACCGTTAGAGAGTATCCGATGATGACTGAAATGAAAAATGAATAAATGTACGTAATAAGTAGTTAAGTAACGAAATAGAAAAGTAAATTATGAGAGAAAAATCAAACGTTTGTATTTTTTTTTTAAAATACAGTAATCATTATGCATGAATGCTCTCTGTATTATATAGTCAAAAACAAAAACAACGTATTATGATAAATGGGTATAAAGGCAATTTTTCCATTTCTTCTCATAAACGTACTTTTATGTGTATTTATAATATGAAGGTAGAAAAAGAAAAATATATATGAGAAGTGCAGTTACCACCAACGTATTATATACACGTGTGTGAATGTAGAAGCTTTTATTTACAAATTTATTTTGTGTGATTTTAGCTTCTTAATTATATGCAATTAAATTTATCTCTCTTCTTTCGTTCGCACGGTAATAGTAAGGCATATTTTTCTCTTAACGCTCCAATTACACATACGAGCTGTATTTGTACATGTATCGAGTCACCTGGAGATTCATTCATCATATAAAAATATAAAAGATTGATAATAAATTGTGAAACACGCTCTATAGACAAGAGAGTAATAACAATTCTGATGGTGTCGTCATATTAATGCAACAAAAACTAAAGAGTACAGTCGTAAACAGATCAATAAATTTTTTATTAATCGAATTAGAAATGTCGTATCCAAAATTTAATTTATGTATATTATCAAAAGTTTTAAGTGTACGAAAAACTATTTTCTCGGCATTCATATTTTTTCAAAAATTAATTATTTTCTTTCTATGACTAGAAAAAATTTTAAATGTGTTTTCTATTCTATTTATTTACTACAAGTAAATGTGAATACGAATATCATAGTCAATTATCATCTATTTACATTTGCTCATTCATGTAAAAAAAAACAATCAGTTCGAATGAAATATGCAAGATGCATCATATTAAATTCATTAAGTTGAGCATTTTCAATAGATTTTTGCTTGTACGTAATCTTTTTTTTGCGTATAAATCAATTTAATGTTATCAGTAATCTGTAATATCACTTCTTTGATCAATAAAATGCATTATAGATCAAGAGATTATTAAATGAACAAAGAAAAAGAAGGAAGTGAGATGATATTACATCGAAACAAAAAAGATAACAACTATAGAAATGTTGGAATTAATCAAACTTCGTAAATGTTTATCACGATTGAAATTCAATATGTATGCATTAAATGGGTTTTTTTCAAAATGATCGGTGAGTTTATCAATAGAAATCGAAATAACAAGAGTATATATACAAAACATAAAGTTATTTTTTTTTCTCGTTCTCATACAAAGTAAGACTGTATTGTTTTAGTAGTACGTATAATAGACGTTTTATTCATTCTTCATTTTAACAATCAATCATATACACAATAGTGTAAATAAATTTCTTCTATAAATAAGAAATATTATCTTTGATAGAAATAAGAGAATTTGATACGAACAAAAGAAATATAAAAATCATATAGATAAAAATAAAACTAATCATTGTATGAATTTTATTCATTTATTTACATAAAAAATAATGCATGCTTTAATATCTTTATTCGCGGAAAATTGGCATCTTTTTCGTTTGTATTTTGTCTCAGAAGAACGTTTCTATGCACGAATTATGTTTTTTGTTTTAATTATTATGGAATTAATGACGATTGGTTTGGATGTATTATTAACATATTGGAGTAAAAATTTTCTTAATGCATTACAAAACTATGATCAATCGGCTTTTTTTCATTCATTATTACAATTTTGTTTTCTTGCTGCTACAATTATAATTATATCTGTTCATAAAACTTATTTATCACAAACACTTTTACTGTATTGGAGACGTTGGATGACAAATGATTTTCTTAAAAGATATTTAGATCATCATGCTTATTATGAAATGTCATTTATGAAAAATAATCGACAAAATATACAGGATAGAAATGATAATCCTGATCAAAGAATATCATCGGATATTAGTATATATATTATAAGCATTTTTGAGTTAACAATTGGTCTATTGAGTACATGTGTTTCATTGGTATGTTATGTTATTCTACTTTGGTCTCTTTCTGGTGTAATTAAAATTAATTTTACTCAAAATTTATCATGTTCAGTTCGAGGAATTATGGTTTGGGCAGCTCTTATCTATGCTGGATTAGGTATAAAAAAAGAATAGAAGTTAAATCTCATCGGATAATTTCTCCTTTATTTATAAGAAAAAATATGATATAAAATTGGCTCTATTTTCTTATAGTCGTAAAAATTAAAATTTTCTGAATGTTGTGATGTCACTAGTTACTATTATAGAGTCATATTCGCATCCGAACCCCTGCTCCGATTACAAATTTCATTTTTATGTGTAAGTCTGTTTAATTTTTTTCTAGTAAAAAAAATCCGTATATATCAATAGGGATACATCGAAGTCTAATAGATGCTTGCAGTGGCGGATCTAGGATTTTGGAAGGGGGGCGATTTTTTTTTTTTAGTGTGGAGGGGCGATATCTGGGGAGGGGGTGGGCGATTTTTTTTTGAGTACGGAGAGGCGATATCTGGAGAGGGTGGGGGCGATTTTGGTTAAAAGCTATTTTTTGAGTCCAACTGAAGCAGTGTGAACCTATTTTTTCGTTCATTTTTGCTGTAAAAAATCAAAAAAAAATTGGAAAGGGGGGATCGCACCCATCGCCCCCCCCCCCTAAATCCGACACTGGATGCTTGTGATGAATGTTCCGTAGAGTTTAATAAATGAGGTAGTAATCAGATTTAGCTGGTATGATATAACGATGTCAAATTTTTGATTTTCTTTTTTTTTTATTAAGGTACTATAATTACAAATTTGATCGGTCGAGTTCTCTTTCATTTAAAATATGAACAAGAACATTGTGAAGCTAATTTTCGATATGGTCTTGTTCGTCTTCGTGATCATGCAGAATCTATTGCTTTCTATCGAAGTGAATCAAATGAACAGACATCATTATCAACATTATATCTTGAATTAATAACAAATTTTCGTCGAATTATTCATCGAAAATTAGCGCTGAATTGGTTCGATTCATTTTATACAACAACAGCACGTGTTTTTCCATATCTTGTTGCATCTCATCGATATTTTTCAAAACAAATTACATTTGGTCATTTAGAACAAATAGCAACTGCATTCTCAAGTGTACATAGTGCTCTTTCATTTATACCAAATTCCTATGAAACTATTGTACAATGGCGATCAGCTACAAAACGATTGACTGAATTTGAATATACTTTAAATGAATTACAATTAGCTAAACAAAATTCTAAAATTAAATTTATTTATGTATCAAATGAACAATCGACACATATTGAAAATTTAACTATTCAATTACCATTAAAAATCGGGGAAAATGATGGGCAAATACTTATTAAACATCTTAATTTAGTACTTGAACCTCATCAAGCTGTACTCATAACAGGTAAAAATAAATAATTATAATTCATTGAATTTGTTTCTATTTTAGGCAAGACTGGATCTGGAAAATCGACATTTCTTCGAACTCTTGCTGGTATATGGCCACATGGATCGGGAATGATTACTTTTCCTCTTGGTGATACAGTGGCTTTCGTTCCTCAAAAAGCCTATTGTCCACTTGGTTCACTTCGTCATTGTTTAACATATCCATCGATTTCATTTTCGTCTATTGAAGAAGATAAAAAAATTCGAAATATTTTAAATCTATGTCAAATGAAATATTGGTCTAATAATCTCGATGAAGTTCAGGATTGGTCACGAGTTCTTTCGTTAGGCGAACAACAAAAAATGGCATTTATTCGTATTTTGTATTTAAGACCAAAATGGTTATTTCTAGATGAAGTCACATCGTCATTAGATGAACAAGCTGAAACATATTTATATTCAATATTAATGCAAGAATTAGCGAATCATTCAACTATTATAAGTATAGGACATCGAAATAATTTAAGACAATTTCATCAATTAGAATTAGTATTAAATGATGGAAATGTAACAATGATGTCTATATAATCAAAAACTTACATAATAAAAACAATAATTTTTTTAATATTCTAATAAATTTGAGAGTTTTATATTCTTCTCTCTTAATATGTTTTTCTTTTCCCCTGATATTCAATTAGCCATGTGAGAAATAAATAGATCGTTATTAGAACACTCTGTGTTCAGAGTAAAAAAATAAGAAACTTACTATTCATAACATAGACTCATTCACTCTTCTCCGACAATGAAAAAAAAAGGTTTGTCTCAGTCGTGAATATATATGATCGCGTCTAAGTTCATAGAATTGGATTGAAAGATAAGTAAAATCATCTATTTATTTTATTCTATCAAAGGAAAAGATCCCTGAAACAATCATTCTGCTTCAACTGATTGTGAAGAGGAGAACGAGAGTGTTGATTCAAATTTTAACAAACTACCACCTATTTTAAAATGCAAGGTG